CCTACATGAAGTTTAGTTGTCTTTCAAATGAATTGACCATGTTCCACATCTGCAATTGTTGAGGCTCTAGATCTTCAAAAGTAACAAACAAATTAAGTAGTAATTCATTCGGGTCTTCTGCAAATTTGTGAAACATGAATGCCACATCTTCATCACAGGTTAAAGGATATGGAGTATATTGCTTTCCTCCATCTTCATATCTAACTGGACAACGATAATGAACTTGACTTATGCGTTTGCTATCCCCTTTGATCAACCTCCTATGTACCTCATTCAACAAATCAACAAGTGTCATGTCTTCGTTAACTTTGATAACTCTCCCACTAGATGGCATTTGTATGGCATAATCAAGACCGTACTGAGTTTGAAATATCTGAACATTTTGAAACACAAGAGCAAACACTGTTGCTGAACCCATTCTTCGAACTCACTACTACAATATGTCTATCTTAAGTTGAAGAGAAAGTGTCAGAACATCTATAGAACAAACACACACACACACACACTTATATTTATAGGTAGATGGACAAACCCTAAAATAATAAAATAATATGAAGTGCATAATTTAACAATTTTTTTTTCATTACAAAATTAAAAAACAACAACAACAAATACATATAACTAAAGTGCACAATAAATATTTAATAAATAATAACTTTTTTTTTTCACGAATATTTAATAACAATATTATCCAAATTTAAATATTACAATCCACAATAAAATTTACATTACAACCATTCGAATTAAAAATAAACCTAAAACTAAATTACAAATACTTTTTTCTCATCAAATCAGATATCCTTCGGAATAACCTGAAAAAATTTTAACATACATTTGTTAAACAATATTACTTACAAAATTAATTTTATTTAACTAATACTACTCACCCATTTTATATTATTTTTAGTTATATTGAGGAAGTAAGGATCACGGAAACGCCTGGGGGCAAACACAACAACCTAAACAAAAAACAAACACATTCAATTCAACACATAAATAACATATAATTTCATTTTATACAACAAATTTTACCTGTTTCAGAATTAACACACACCCCACAACAATGTCTTCCCCATATTGTCGGTGTTGCTTAACTTTGTAATGTAAGCTTGCACCAATCGCTGCAGTTGGGTCCTGAAATAAATATTTACAATTAATTACAAAACATTTTCTTTTAATGTATAACAAATTCACTAACCATACCTTTAAATTAATAGTATAATTTCCCTGTCCAGTTGGGGTCATAGACTCCACAAAAGCAACAACTGTTGGGACTCTTTGTAAATTGTGGTCGATATTAATCAATGGAGTCACTTCAGGTAGACCTATTGTTAAAAAAATACAAATTATAGTTAACATTATTTGCATCATTAAATTTACACACATCAAACTTAATATGCTAAACAAACCTCTAGATTTCACATAATGCATAGCATAGCGCCACGGGTTAGAGTTGAACACCAACATCGCAGGTCCATTAAGATCAGCCAAAAACTCTTGTGTTGGCAACGGATTTTCAGCTTCCCTGTTCCTCATTGTAGCTTGGACCAAACCAGCTGGTCCAGGAATAACACGACCAATGTCACGTGTACTCGATGTCTCTTCGTCATCATCCCCAAGTTTTGGTGTAGGGGGTGACAACGGAGACAATGGCTCCTGTTCTTGAGCCTCTTCAGCCTGTCTTGCTACCATTGCACTTCTCATTGACGCCAAAAATTGTTCATCTGTCCATAATTCATTTGATGGAACAATGTCTACTTCTTCATCACTATCAGGTACGTAATCAATACCTCTACGAGACATTCCTAATCAAATACAAATCAAATTAAATATTATTTGATGGAACAATGTCTACTTCGTCATCACTATCAGGTACGTAATCAATACCTCTACGAGACATTCCTAATCAAATACAATTCAAAATAAATTTTCCAATAATATTATGTCTCAAATTTTAAAATTTTAAATATTCAGTATAATATCACAACTATTAAAATTGCAATAATTACATATTATCAATTAAAAAATTAAAATTATTTATATTTTTTAATTTAAAAAAAAAAATTGCCCACTGGAACGGCCCGTTCTGACATTCAGAACGGCCCGTTCTGATTTTAGAACGGCCCGTTTTGATTTCAGAACGGCCCGTTCTTAGCGAGAAGCACATTTCAACGTTTTTAAAAATTGGAACGGCCCGTTCTGAATACGTGCTTTCTCAGAACGGCCCGTTCCCACTTTATACCTTACGTGTTTGGGGTACGTATTTAAAAAAAAATTTATACTTCAATTTTTACACCACTCTACTCAACAAAATAATCAATCATACAACATACAATATATTATAAAAATTTAAATATAAATTTATAACAATTTAAATACATTACTTACTTGCAGGACCACCAAATAAGAAACTAGGACCACAAACTGAAACCGGGGAAATGAATCTCGTGCAACCCAATACACTTATTTAGTGTCATTTGATAGCGCCTGTCCCTGAGGCGTTTTGCAAACAAAATTACCCACACTTACCGGGGGGAGGGGATAACTGATAGTGGATGGCGCCCAGGGTGGAGGCGCGTTCAGTGCGTGCCACATAGGCACACATGGCGCCTGGGGGTGGGGCGTTTTCAACACAAACGTGCCACGTGTGCATGGCGCCTCCCCCCTGGGCGTTTTCTTTGCACAATGTCACCTCAGCATGGATGGCGCCTGGGGGGAGGCGTTTTCTAAAAAACACCCAACCCCCAGGCGCCATCCATGCGTCAAAAATTACCTATTTTGATAAATTGTTTTTTTTTTAATTTATTTTGTGTATTTTTATTTTTTTTTTTAATTACTTGGGTCAAAAAGCCTTAGTATAAATTATAAAGACTCCGTCTCAAACTGTCCAGCAAGTGATCTAAACTTTGTTTATAACTCCCTCTTGCCTTTTCAATGAGTTGAAAAGTGTTGACATTTTCCTTTAACACTGATTAAAATTCTTTGAAAAATACTCCATACGTTTCAAATTGACATTTAAAATAAGAGTTAAAATATTTTTTAAAATTCCTATCATTTCACTTTACCTTTTAATCCTATAATTTAATATAAACATTTTGTCACTATATTTATATTTTCCAATCATTTTTAATCTTTATAATTTTTATAATTGAAAATAAAATTTTTTAGTCTCTATATTTATAACTTTTTTAATCCTTTTATTTACTATTATTAATTATTCTTATATAACAGTCTGTTTTGTGTTGGCATAAAATGTCGTTAATTTTTTAAAATTATTCTTATTTAGGTTTATTAAGGTTTCGGGTCTCTTTGTATCCTCAGGACTCATTGTTTAAATACCCCATTATTATTTACCCTCAAAATAACCCTAGGACATTTCGTCTCGTGAGAAAAATTCAAAAATAAAAATACTTTAACTCTTAATATATATTTCATTAAAAACCTAAACTTTAATCAATATGAAGAAAGGAAAAATAAGATAATGCTAAACCGTCAATCCATATAACATGAAGGGTGTGCAAAATTATGGATGATGGCCTTGCTGCGCAATACAAAGTGCATAACACTCAATCACAAGGCATAATGCATAGATGCATGTGTATGCACGCTTGTGCATTCCCACAAACACCAAAATTCTTGTACACAGCCATCATAAACACACGAAATAGTTCAAGCCCTAAAAGCATGGGGCACTAAAGCACATAATATTAGGACTAGTCCAATTTAACATGTGGCCCATGGTCCAAAACGGTAAGCTCAAATATCCTCCTAAAAAGGATTAGATGTTGCAATACAAGAAATTCCAATGAAAAGCAGACTCTCCACTGATAGTATCTAGAAGGAGCATTATTCAAAATTGAAGCTAAATCTATAGGCAAAACATGGGAACCTATAAGCAATGTGTCTAAGAGAGGCATGAGTAAGCCAATGCCTTTTCCTCAGAAAGCTCATCTGCTGTCGAGTCCAACTTTTTCCTTGAGAACTCATCAATTGAAAGTCCTGCATCAAAATTGGAGGAATTATGTCAGATCAGATGCATTCACCAATGTAGAATTTTATATAGAGAGCAATTGAAGATGAGGAAAAATACCGTTATCATATAACCTTTTTCTAAGTTTTAACTTGATAGGGTGTTTGGTACACAATTTTTACTTTCTAGGAAATCTAAAGTTGAAAATGTTAATTTCTCATGTCTAATTTGTTATTAAAAAAAATATTCCTAAGAAACATAGTAACTAAATAAATAAATAAACTCAATAAAAACATTACATTTTATTATTTTCTTATTTAATAAAGTTAAAAAATTTGATTCCAAGGTATTATTTTTATATTATGATTAACCAAACAGATATTAACTATTGGTAGGAATCATATTTCCAAGAACCATGATTCCCTAGAATGAAAATTATTTTAGCATACTATATGCCCCTTAGCTCATGAGAAATGCACTAAAAGAATAGTTGGTAGCTTTTTTATTTTTTCTATTTTTCTAAAAATCTTGAGTAATTATGATAAATTAACTAAAACTAGTTTAATAAAAAAAAACATTTAAAAATAAGCATAAGCAAAATCAAAATTATGGATCTCACTTCTTATTTAAGAAGCCTTCCCCATGATGTATTAATTTTCAATAAATTTTAACTAATAGAAGAGTGTCTTAAAAGTAGCGTGTTAGAATATGTATTGCTAACCCTCCTCTTAACAATCACCGACTACAATGAAAGCAATGGGTGGCGTTAACTACTACGATGGTGATTGTTAATGTGGATAAATTAAATGTCATCGGTCTAGAAAAAATCTGCTCATGTTTAAAAAGATTTAATATACCACTAAGTGACAAAACACTTACCTTGAACTATTTTCCATTCCCCATTGGCACAAGTGACAGGGAATGAATAGATCAATCCAGCTGGAACATTGTAAGAACCATCAGAATATACTCCCATTGAGACCCAGGTGCCCTAAAATTGCAATGAAAAAATAATAATAATAATAATAAGCTTAGCTGGAGAGTGGAGACAAATACAGAACCTGAATTATAAAAATCAAACAAAAACCTAACCAACCTGAGGAGTTCCAAGAACCCAATCTCTAATATGGTCACAAGCAGCACTAGCAGCTGATAGTGCACTTGAAAGCTTTCTAGCTTTGATAATTGCAGCACCACGTTGTTGAACAGTAGTTATGAATTCTCCATTCAACCTTGAAAATGAAAAATTGCAAGAGTGCCTCAATAAATATAAAATAATATGATTTGCTAAAAGTCATAATTCACAGTATTCACATGGCATACCAGGCATCATCAGCTACAAGTGCGCGGACCGGCTTCTCCCCAGCTGGGGTTGCAACAGTTGCATGGTTAACATCGGGATACTGAGTTGATGAGTGATTGCCCCAGATAATGACATTCTTTACATCAGAAACCTGAACACTAAGTCTTTCAGAAATTTGGCCCAGTGCCCTATTGTGATCCAATCTAGTCAAACAAGAAATGTTCTTCTCGGGAATAGATGGAGCGAATTCCTTCAAGATCAATGCATTGGTGTTTGCTGGGTTAGCAACAACCAGAACCTGCAGATAATGCAGAGTCTTTCATAAATATTCCAAAAAAAAACATATAACTGAAATCAAGTTTTCAAAAACAAATACAGTACATATCTCATGAATAGAGTTAAGATTCCATCCTGATGGAATCACTAAGACTTCACCTTACATACATAATATATATGGACTAGGTGGAGCTTTTTCCACAATGCCTAATTCATTTGAAAATTAGCATCTACATCTACTAAAGGTGATCAAAGTTTGATGAACAAGTATAATAACTAGACGTAATTGCAGGGATACATATAAATTGGTTGCAGCTCCAAACAACAAATAAGTTCAGTATATCCACTAATATTTTATTGGTCTAATGTCTAGCACCACATCACAGTAACCAATAAATTAATAGTTTTCAATTAAGAGGTAAACCAACATGTCAAAAGCAATTTGACCCAAGCATCAAAATCAGTAAAAAAAACAAAACAAAACAAAAAAAAACAAAAAAAACAAGAGTTAAAGTTGACACAAAATATGGGAGAAACAAAGGCTAACTAAGAAAGGCCTGAAGACTCAGATGTAAGAGATTACCTTGCAGTTGGCAGCAGCGTGTTTTTCAAGTGCAGAAGCCTGGGACTTGTAAATGGAGACATTCTTAGACATCACATCTTTCCTCTCCATACCTTCTTTTCTTGGGAATCCACCAACCATCACCGCAATATTGACCCCAGTGCATGCCTCAGCCACATCAGTTGTAGCAACAACACCTGAAACAAAAAGGTTCACATGACTTAATAATCTTGTTGATCATATAAGCAACAGAAAACAATCCCATGTTAAGTTTATGATTGCTAATGCTATCCATGATGGTTATGTAACATTCAACAACGGTTAGCCAAACCTTTAAGAAGAGGGAATGCAGCATCCACCAATTCCATTTTAACCCCATTCAATGACTCTGCTGCAGGGGGAATGTCAAGCATGTGGAGGATCACAGGCTGGTCAGGACCCAACATCACTCCCCTAGCAATCATAGGGACAAGAGCATACCCAATTTGCCCTACAATTGATAAAAACATTTTGTTAGCACAATAACAAGATGAGAAGTAAATTGTCATGCATCCAAATACTGGCCGTATTCAATTTGAAGCAACCAAACGATCCACCATAAAACTACACTCGCAGAAAACATTGTAAAGTTTGATGAAATCAATATAAAAAAAACTTATAATAATACATACATCAACTAAATAAAAGGGGTAAAAAGGAGTACAGTAACACCATTTTTAAAAAGTTACAAAAAAAACCAATGGAATTGCATATGAAACAAACAAAGCGCACCACTAGAAAAATTCAAATTGAACAGGGCTTTTTATTTCCAGTTCAATGAAAGTGAACCATTGCAACAACACTTACTAAGAACAGAAATAAATAATCACACAACACAAGCATCGGATCCCATCCTTCCAATAATAGTAAAACAACTTTCCAGTTTCCCCAATGAATGCTAGTTATGTTACATAGTCAAATGTTTCTCGTACATTTACAGAAAAAAGAACAAATAAGAGCCATCGAATGATAAACAGAGCTAAAAGAAAATGACCCAAGACTACATCAGTTTCAACTTTCACTCCCCGATGCAACATAAAACACTACCATTTATCCATAATCATAACAAAACCAAAGTTAGCAAACAGTTACATTAGACATAAAAAATAAAAAAAATAAAAAAAAGCAAACAACTGGTAAACAAATCTACACCAAAAACAAACACAACACACAAACATAAAGAATCTTCGGCGTTCATCACAGATCAGATCTGAGCAGCGAGCAGATCAAGATTCAAACACAAACGAAGACACCATTTTGACACAGACCCAGAATTTAAAACCATCAAACCAATTCAAAAACACGATCAGATCACAGATCTCGCATCAAAAACTCAAAAGGGTAAAATCAAGCGATCGTGATGAATCTAAAGAGTAGGAACGATAAGAACAGATTATGGCTATGAGAGGTATACCTGCAGCACCAGTGACGAGAACGCGAACTGGCTCTTTGGCCATTTTGGAAGAAATGGAATGAATCAAAGGAACTTGTTTGAGGCGCAGAAGAAAAAGAGTGATAGAGTGACTGTGTAAGAAATGAAGGTGGACTTGGGTATTTATTTGTGTGAAGACAGTGTTGCCACGCTATGACCTCAATGAAACGACGCCGCTTTCGTAGGTTTAACTTTAACGGCAAAAAGAAACCCAGCTATAACATAGTTAAAGAAAAATAATACAAAGTAGGCTTTACAATTTATTTAACTACAAATAATACTTGGAAGTTAGAACATATATTATGTTGTGCCATGTGTGAAGACTTTACTTAGACCGATCTGACTCGATGAAAAGATAAATAAAATTTTATAAAAAATTATTTTTTTTCAAAAATCAAACTCAATCTGTATCAAATTATATTTCAAAGATGATATATAT